ATGCATTGTTTGCGATACTTTTGTCAGCTCATTTGTTCACAATGTTTAACTATTTAGACACAAGGTAGCATTGGGTCATGGAGAAATATTTTGACAACTATGCGATAAAATTTAATTTTATTGATTTTATGGAGCTAATTAGGCCTGATATACATCACTTGATGAACTAGTTTTTGACAACACTGTATCTTTTTACGTAATAACAGATACTAGAGGTCGCCCAGTGAAAAATATGTAATGTACAGACTTCTCCATTTTCACCCCATGCTATAAATAAAACATGTGATATTTTGTCACCAGCATAGCAACCAATAAGGCCCATGTAAGTTTTTTTTTAATTTTAAGTTCATTTTTGTTCTTATTTTTTTCCCTATTTCAATTTATAATGTTATCCTGCAAATCTACAGACAAATATCTTTCTAACAGTATGCATGGATTTTCCCTGCGATGCACACGAGCTTAGAAAAAAGGTTTTAAAGAAACATGCTTGCCTATTAATATATAGATTCCAAAAGGCGTTACTTGGTATGGTAAAACAAAACTAGATGATGGTCAAATATTTGGCTATATCATCCGAAGACTCGCCACAAGATATTATAATAGTCGTGGTCAAACAAATGTCCGCTCCCAACAATTGCATTGCAAATAATGCAACGATCAACAACGTTTAGATCACACAAGCTGTTTCGAGCGTAGATCATCTTACAAACTTCTCATAATAGTACTTGTAATTAATTAAAATTAACTTCTCTAATACATTGTTACTCATTAAGTGCATTTTAAGCTGAGCATGTATACAGGGTGAGTGTAATATGAAGATTATGATCGTTGGAGTTATACATTTAAATCAACTAGGTATGTTTCATTAGCCAAGATCATTTAGCAAATGCCGGACAGTTTTGGGTTTACTCTAAACTTCTGAATTTTCTCAGGATTGAACCAGAGACCTTCAGATTATTCGGTGAACTATAACCACTTACCTACCCCGTTAGCCGTATTGATCAACTAGTGAAAGTCCAATCAGTTCCTTTCTCTAATTTACTACAAAATTTAATAAGGTTGCAAGTAAAAGGTTCGTTAGCGAACGTAGCCTATGTCTACTAAAAATGCAACCCATTCTCAAAGATCAAGTTGCCCTAGTGTGAAAACCCCGTTAATTGACTCGTAAGAAATTAAACAATTCTGGAGAAGCTGAGCAATAATACAGGAGCAATTAACTTTGGTTGCGCATGGAGCAATCAAGCAACTAATGCAGACTCCACGTGCCTGGTTCGCACATTCTCTTTCACCCTAGATACATTGACATAGAAACTGACACTGGTCGTTAAATATGCGAAATTCCTTATGGTTTAACACCGTTATCACGTTATTAGACAGTTAACATGAATTACCGGCCTTCAAACATACAGCCGAGCCGCCAAGCAACGTAGTAATGTAGAGTAGTTGAGGAGATAAATGTATGATGACCATACTCATTCAGGCCTGTCATGGTAAGAATCTCTTAGACGATAACGCACAAAATATATTTGATCTTCTCTAAATTGCATGGCACGGTTAGGCCCCGGCCACACGAGGAGATCCACGCGAAGTTATGGGGTTCGACAACACTTTGAATCAAACGATAGTGGCCAAACGAGGTGAAGTTTAGCCGCCTAGAGGGTCGGAGTTCAGAAAGAAAGTCCATATTCAAATCCCTCCAATGAACAACGCCAAATTCCTCTCTAAGGTATGTCCTGATAGTTCAGAATACACCTGAACTTAAGGGTCGTCAACGTCCACCCATCAAGTATATAAATGGAAATGGATAGGACTCGTAGGCTCAGGGAGCTTTTCTTTATTTGTCACTCCCTACACTTAACGTTAACGTATACAATGAAGTTTGGAATCTGATCAAAGTTTTTCTTTCTCAACGGAAATTAAGATAGCAACTCATTTGTCAAAAACAATTAAAAATAATCGTCATGCCTCCTTTTTTTGTAATGATCAAGGCAGAGTTTCAGAAGTATAATTTATAGACTAATCATAGAAGATGAAAACATTACAACATAAAAATTACATGCTATTACAACAAATTACCCACTTTTATCGAATACCCACAGTTTTGCCAACAAAGTGGGTAATTACCCATCCTTTGCCTTAACCTAGGTTGTTGGAGAGGGGAATGCCAAGTCAGGGAGGGAATTGCAATTAACTGGAGTGGTGTCTGAATGCTGAACTCGGTTAACGCACAATGAGGAAGAAGAAGAACTCTTTTGTCGACCAATCAGAGAAGTCTCACGCAATGATGTCGAGATCATAGCTTCATCTGGGCCAGGCAACAAAACTTTGGACTTTGGAGTGTTTGGGCAGCCAGAAAAATCGCTATTTCATTCTTAAAAAATCCTTTATAACGATAATACGGATAGAGTTAGGGAGATTTGGAGTTTTTTAAGATAAAATTTATTTATTTTCACAGCATTTCATTAAGTCATAAAACATTCAAAATTGAACGTAATTACAGTGATTGAGGAAGTTTGTTTCTTCTAAACTATGAACAAAGTCGCTTCAATGTATATCAACTCAGTAATGGGGCCAGAAACAAGTTTACGATTTTTTTTAATAAGTTGGAGGATATACAAACTTGCTTAAATATGAGGAATGTGTCTGTAATGATGAAACCAATTGTATAACATACTCTGGAAAAATATCACTCCATCACTGATGAGTTCACAACTTATGTGGAAATGGTGTGCGACTGATAAAATGATTATACTGTGTATAATGGAACCTATCTCCTGACCGGGTCTACCTGAGGACTTCAGCCATGGGTAACCGGGTTCAAATCCTGCCCATTGGCAATGTATACAGGTGATATTGTTGTGGCCCCGTAGTTTAAAACACATCCTAATTTTCCTAACTGTTCAATAACCTAGAAAACATATTACTTTTAGTGTAGGATAACTCTTTCCTCTAGAACGCATGCGGTATTAACGACAGAAGAGCTTTTACTTAAAAAAACATTCGTGGCCTAAAAGTTCTTACGCTGGCAATGTAGATTGGTGTTTTACTGATTACAAAGACGCTGTTTGAAAGGAGCTCGGAAATTTGTTGACCTCTTTCCTTGAAACAAAACGAACTACTGTGCTTTGAGAGATTGGACTTTTTGAACGTTTCACCGTTTGCTTGTTTAGACGCTTTTTCATATATCTATGAACTGATGGGTTCTTTCGGCAATTAATTTGATTAACACTAATTTGATGTCAAAAATTTAATCATTTAATCAAATAAAATTTAATCAAAATGTTGTAAGTAAAATTATATAACCTTGAATTAAATCAAAAGTCAATTAGGCATATACGTTTCTACATAAAGACTGACTGTAAAAATACGGTATTTGTGTTTAGAACTGTACATCTACACAATATTCAATCATTAAATGAGAGTATTTCTTAAGATTTTATTTTAGAATACAACATACCAAATTCAAATTCATTTAACGTTAGCTAGTATGGTTGTGAATACTATAGTCAGCGGTAAGGGATTAGATTGCAAAATTAAAGAGGACGAGATTAAAGAATTGCCATACAAGTAGTTTAGACGTTTATAATTGTATTGTTTTTACGAAATTTCATGAAAAACTATGATGTTAGTTGTTGCCGCTCATTTGTACTGCCGTAACGAAAAATTGTAATCGAATTCCTAATAGTAACTGTGTAAAATGAATAATATAGGTGGTTTTTTTCAGCAAAGGGCAAGAGAAGTGAAATTCTTGCGCTAGGAAATGCCAACGATAACTGGATAACGATAGCCAACAAGTAAATCGAGGTCGCTTTAATAGCAAATCGAACAACTGAAACTGAACTGTACTTTCTATGTGAAAATAATTTGTACCCTCAATAGTAATCCCATTAATGTTGTAAGTACCAGGAACAAAATCGCAGTTTCAACTCGATACCTCAAAGTTTTTTACGACAAAATATTCTAGTTTGTAACGGTTTACAATGTTGAATTATCTTTATTTTAGGTTATGTGACTTTGAACACCTATGCTGTAGGATTTTCCGAGGTAAATATTGGAAATATCCTTTTCAAAAAGTGTTTTCCCTCAAAGATACTGCAGCAAAACAGATGTTTTAATTCGTGCTTTCCTGCTTTGAGGGGCTAAAGTAGCTCTTTTCTCCTTTGGAAAAAATAATCCATTGTAATATGTTTACTAGCCGTAAAATTCGTCGGCAAATTTTGGAAGAAAATTCCCGATTAACAATACTGTAATTAATTAAAATCGTTTCATCATTAATATTTATTTCTGTTTATCGGCATTTTAAATTGATTTCTCAAAAGATATATACCCCTTAATCGACTTTAAGACACATTGAAATTTAACAGAATTCAGTACTTGATTACGTGTTTGGTAGACTATCCAATAGTCAATGGTAATACATACAGTATTGCATATTATAAATAAAAGTATATCGGCTGTCCCTATATAATAACAAAACCAGAAAATAAACATTTTGGAATCTAATTTCTAAAGGTAAACAATGTAGGCATACCCAATTTATGTGAATTAATTATTTAGTTTGACGAAAAATATTGTTCATGACGTAGGCAAAAATGTCTATTTAACTTCGCTCGGTTTTTAGGTTGTAAATTTAAGCCCGGGCCGCGAGTCCACCGAAGCCGTAGTGACGAAATATAATCCCGCATTATCCACGGATAAAACAAAAACGGTATGGATCATAATCATAAACAAATTACGTCACTGGCCCAAAAGTAAGCACGTGTTTATTAATAATATTTTAGTAATATTTTAGTAATATGTTATATGTAATATGTATGTAGTATTAGTAATATGTTTAGTTTAGTAATATTTTATCGGAACTGTCAAAAACGTCCAAACCAGCTATTATGGCTATAGTACTGACATTCGAGCCAATGAAAACATTTGTTATGTTCATGATCCATGCAATTTCTGTTCTAGGTATTATCATTGAATGTAGTGAAACTTAGTGATGTACTCACCTGTAAACAGCATGTAAGCACCGGCTACGATGATGGCGAAGAGGGCGAACAGTTTGGCGTAGGTGAATGTATCCTGCACCCTGGTGGCCCATTTGACATCCCAACAATTGATGAAGGTGAGAACCACTGAAACAGCGAAACAGATTATTACAACAAGGGAATGTAAGTAATAAAGGGTTAAGGTGGGTGTTGCTGGAGCCTACTAACCTACAGCGTCAATGTAAAATGAGGTAAAACATGACAGAAGTAGAAAAAGACATGCTTGTGGAATCAATTATTCTGGGTAAAGAGTTTGTCCATGCAGGAGTTGTAGCCTTCACGTGTTGAACGTGGCAAAGGTTCTATGATAGATTAAACGTTGAGGAATTTCACAAGAGTTTAATGTGAATTATAAACAGCTGTTCTTCTCTCTTTATTCACCACTGTTTCGGTTAAAATTGTTACTATGGGTCAGCCGCTTAGAAAGCGTCCTCCTCGTAGCATTGGTGCGAGAGAGAGATACCGAGCTGTGGGAGTGAGACAGAATATGGCTCTTCCCCCACTCCACTGCCACCCCACCACCACCCTTTAGTTTATTTTACATTTTATTTTACCAAATCATATGTTTTCTTATAATTTTCCAAAGACTTTTGAATGACAATCATTAGGAATCAGCATTGAATATATAACACTATTATTTAGTTTTATATATCCAAAATAGCGTTGTATTCAACACTGAATGAATATACTGTAGTAGTGTTATACAATATAACACTACTATTTAACCGAAAAACAGTAAAGCAGTAAATACTTGATTGGCTGATTGGAGGAGTGGGGGATGTGCGTGCACACACCTTCTTTTATACGCCTTGCCATTCCGGGTCCAGAGGTATTACCATGAGTACTACGGTGATAGCTTATACCCTATATAGGAAATTCACTAAAAGGCCGTCACTAAGATGTGTGATCGTTACTTGCGATGGTGGCAACACCATTATAGGCTAATTGCAGTCGCGTTATTTGCGTCTTACACAATCGTGGCAACATCCGCGATAATCTCCTGCGATTATCTCAGCTTCCATGACTCTTTGTGATTGCGGCTATATCTTAATCGCGGCGAGATTCGTGATGATTGTCCGTTTATGGGGTAAAAATAGGGTTTTCCCATTTTTGACCCTAAAAACGCAAAATTTCACAATTTCTTTCTAAACCATTCTGTAGAGCTTAAAAAACAAATAATTTAGTATATTGAAGCGTTATTATGCGCCTAATGGTTACGAGAAAAATTTAAAAAAAGTTGTAATTTTAAAATTCACATGTTATTCTTATTGAGAATAAGTCAACTGTTGTAGTTTACTTGTTTGTGAACTAATTTTGATCAAATTTGGAAAAAAACATTAATTTCTTACTAAACTACAGTACCTTTTAACATTTTACATAAAAAACACAATTTTTTACCCTTCCTTGTTTCAGCAAACCTACTCGTTAAACTAATTCTATTTAAATAGGGAATAAATGTGATATTGTTAAGGAGACATTTTAGTGGTAAGTTCAATCGGGCAAATGGAAATTCGCTAAGTCTGCAGGCTTGCCGTGGCGGGGGTATTTTATTGTTAGTTCTGTACGTCCAGCTGTAGAGGTTATGTTTTGTTTACATTTTGTTTCTTGTTATTTCAGTAATTTAAAACCTCATTTAACCAAATAAAACGATTTAATCATAAACAATAACTGGTCTTCTAGTTATATTACCATATAGTAAAGCACAAATCATGAAAATAACCCTAAAATAATAGAAACAAAATGTTGTCTACCCCAGCGATTAGTGTGGACGTACATGAACTAGACACGAAAACAAAGCTAAAATATTTACAATGGGATGAGGAGTCTACTTGTTTTGCTTAGTCTATGTTGCAACTCAGTGGCAGTTCCGTGCTTTTATTTATTAATTCGGCAATCGGCATGGAGAGGTTCCGTCGTGATTATCTGTATGGATAAACACCATTAAACAGATAATTATTCTAACTTATCTGTAGGGATGAAAATTAACCTCAAAATTCGTGTAACTGAGCAGTCAGACATGTTCGGCAAGCCGCTTGTTTTCGGGTGGGCCTGCGAGGACTGTTTTCCACAGCAGTACGAACTCTGTCGAATGTTCGTTGTCTGGCATCCGATCTGACTTTGGTCGGCCTTTCAGCTTCCATTTCAACGCGGAAGCCGTTGTTCTAAAGTTAGTAACCCACCGCATTATTGTTGCAACGGAACATCTCCATGTCGCCTTAATTGAAAGAATGCACGAAACTGCTTATGCTGCTGAGTTGCAATGAATGAATTCAATACTTTTTAAAAACGACTCCATAACAACCGCACGTAGCTCAGGCGACCACTGCTCTATGACTAGAAAAAATGGCATTGTGTAGGCTTTCCAACGAGCATACTCACACCACTTTCAGACAACCTGTCGCTGAACAGTGCTCTGCAGAAAATGGTTCGGTTTTTTGCCGCACCCTGTACTGTATAACACTATGACTATATTCAATATTGAATACAACACTATATTGGATATAAAACGCTTAATAGTGTTGTATATTCAATGCTAACTCGTAATGATTGTCATTCGAAAGTCTTTGGGAAATTACAAGAAAACATATGATTTAGTGAAATAAAACACGTTCAGCTTGCACGTGACGTCACTATCCACACACCTTGTGAAAAAGGCCATTGGCGGAGAGGGGGAACGTACCCTCCCTCTCCGTTACCTCCCCTACATGCGCTAAAAATTTCGCGCAGGTCGTTTTCTAAACGGCCGACCTATATCAACTCCATTATTGCATCCTAACCTATCCTAACCCAACATAACCTAACCTAACCTAAAATACAAGGACGCGGTGAGACAAAATTGGCAACGCCGCAGACCAGGCCTATTGAAACATCTGCTGCACTAACATGGAGCGTCTGCGCAATGTTTATGTTTACACGATTGTTATTACCATCGAAGTATATTAGTGGGGTCGTATAGCTGCATATAGTGGCAGAATATTTCAGTTCTGGCAGACAGGCTGCAATTTTAGGTGGTTATAGTATACAAGTTTCTGAACCTAAAACCGCCCAGACCCCAATTTTTAAGGACCTCAGTCGTACGTAATGACGTCATCAAAATGGCGGCAGTAAGAGGATGCTAGGTCCCCATGAATTGGCTATAACGACCGAATGCCTGAACCAATTTTCATGAAATTTGGCACACAAGTGCTTGAATACATTATGTCGGCCTGGGTTGAAAATGGTCAAGTTTCATCAAGTCATTTCAAAATGGCGGCCATTCAAAACTAAAAAAAATATGAGGAAAATAATTGTGAATTGTTTTATACAGGGAGAGTTTTAAAAGAGTCCCCCTACTTTTTATACATTTCTTAAGATATCAACTTTGAACCATGTCAGATCATTGTAGAGTAGCAAGAACTTCATTTTGACCGGGTTTACATTTTTGGCCGCCATCTTGGATCCGCCATTTTGGAAACAAAGTTATTTTTTCAAATGTAAAGATAGGGTTGTGACCCACCGTTTCAAACAAAACCTTTACGCTGAATACGATGCTGCAATCCGTTTAAAAAAATGTTGATCCATTCTAAAGTTATGAGAACTTTTTATAACTTTATTTTTGGTCCATTATAACATTGTGCATTTACAAACTAAGGCCATAATCTCAAAATAGTGCTAGATAAAGATAAGTGGACACCACCATTCATTGTTGACCTATTTTAACTCTGTTATGACGGATGTATTTTTTTCAGCCGCCATCTTGGATCCGCCATTTTGAAATGTGATAAATTATTTTAAACATGAAGGTGGTGTTGTGACCCATTATTTTGAACTACTTTTTTATGTTAAATTCAATGTCGCAATCAGTTTTTCATTGTCATGTCTGGTTTTTGAAATATTGACATTTTAAATAAAAATAATTGTTATATGTATTTTATCAAGAAAGCTTGATAACAAAAAACGGATACAATTAAAACTAGTCGAAACGAAGTAATCGCTACTCTACAATTATCTGGCGTGGTTCGGAGTTTATATCTTAAGAAAAGTATAAAAAAGTAGGGGGGAACTCATTTAAAAATCACCCTGTATGAAACAATTCACAATTATTTTCCTATTAATTTTTTTAGTTTTGAATGGCCGCCATTTTGAAATGACTTGATGAAACTTGACCATTTTCAACCCAGGCCGACATAATGTATTCAAGCACTTGTGTGCCAAATTTCATGAAAATCGGTTCAGGCATTCGGTCGTTATAGCCAATTCATGGGGACCCAGCATCCTCTTACGGCCGCCATCTTGATGACGTCATTACGGACGACCGAGGTCCTTAAAAATTGGGGTCTGGGCGGTTTTAGGTTCAGAAACTTGTATACTATAACCACCTAAAATTGCAGCCTGTCTGCCAGAACTGAAATATTTTCCTGCTACCCAACCTGACTATATAACACAACTGTTAAATACCATGACAATAAGCCGGCAAGTGTGACGTCGTCACATACCATAAGAGGAGGCTATGACTCCATACAAGAGGTTTAATTCATTACCGTATGTCATCGGAACAAAAATTAAAGAAAATCCAAAAGTAATTGGGACAGATATTGTTGAGGCATTGGAGCGGTGAAAAAATCATGTAAAAAATAAACGGTATCAGCAAACTGACACATACTTTCTCCCAATAGCTTGTCAACAACCTTTATCATGGGTATGCGGTGGGAGTAAGTATGGTATTTTTGGATAGAATAAGCTGCAAATACTCTTGAACCGTTATGTTTACAGCAATGGGGGGGGGGGGGTTGTACTACAGTATTTTGTTTAGAATTGTAAGGGCCATGACATAGTAATCGTAATAAAACCTACTTTCTTTCAAAAATCCGATTTCCCATTATTTTAAAGTTTTTTTATGGAAAAATAGCATAAGTTACGATAAAATTTGGCCCGCAATTTTTGAAAAGAGAGTTAAACAAATTTCTTCAGAATTTAAAGGGCTATAACCACAGCCATTTCTAATCCATGTATTAGAGGTGGCTGTGCTATAACATATTAAATTTTAAACCAGATGGTTCGGGCCATTTTCGATAAACTTCAATTTTTCATTATTTTATGGGTTTTTA